GATGCATGGATGCATGGATGCATGGATGCATGGATGCATGGATGCATGGATGCATGGATGCATGGATGCATGGACGGATGATAGATAGATAGATAGATAGATAGATAGATAGATAGATAGATAGACAGACAGACAGACAGACAGACAGACAGATAAAAGTTTTAGTAGTATATAGATAGATTTAAGGATTACTTTTCAACTGTTTTCAACTTGTCCTACCATAGTTTTGTTTCTCAACTCCGTTAGCTATCCTGAATGCTCCCTAGAGCAGAAAATCAGTATAAACCAACTGCCTCAAGTCACTTAGATGAGATGGGCAGCCATGCCAATCAAATAAATAAGAATAAGAATAAGACAACAAGCATTCCAAAATGCAGGGTAGTGCATTTTTAAAAAAGGAACTCAAGAAGGGCAAACAAATGGGAGGTAAATGAGCTTGGATCCACATCTCTGTTTGGAAAAGTGGGGTCTGGTTGATGTTAAAGTTTGGATTTCCAAAGCAGCTCTTGTTTTTCTCCGCGTCATCTTTTCCACTTTCTGCCGCTCGTTGTACAGCTTTTCGTTAAAAAAAAAAATCAAACAATATTTACATATCAATTTTGGGTAATATCAGATGAAGAGAAGATCGGTTGCATCTTTGTGGATCTATCTGTTTTGTATATGTGAGGGCATTATTGCATATTGTTATTATATTACTATTACTGTTGCTCTGCAGAAAAGCATGAGAGACATCAAAATCAGATAAACCGTAGCGGTAAATTCCTGCACAGGGAAGGGGCTGGACTAGATGATCTCAAGGTCTTTTCCATCCCTTCCATTCTCTGATATTTATTGCTGTTGTTGCTGTTGTTATTTTAAAGGCATAAAGTTAACAGTGCACAACTCATGAACATTGACCATGTCTTGAAGATAAAAATTTGCCCATCCTAGAAAAATATTTAAACTTGTCCTCTCTGCTCCCTATATTCTTAAGAAAGCCCTATTTTGGGTTCCCCCCCTCAAAGGGCCTCCTAGTATTCCTCTTCTGTGCTTTACAAGAGCAATAAAACTTCCAAACCCTGTTTGGTGTGTCACGTACTGACTCTATCATCCCAAATTCCCCCCCTGACATTCCCCATAAGTTATAAATGGAATCATGGGATCATAGGGCTGGGTGGTTGGAGGTCATCTAATCCAGCCCCATGCCCAATCCTCATACCATCCTGGACAAGTCAAACAAATTCTTGACTTCTCCTTTCCTTCATGGTCCTGTTTGGTTTCTAGTCTCAACACCAACGAGGATGAAACCTTCCTCTTCTGTCCTATCCCATCAGGAAAAGAGGACATCCACGCATCAAATGTCCATCTCCATCTTCAGTTATTAACAACTTCTTCTTCTTCTTCTTCTTCTTCTTCTTCTTCTTCTTCTTCTTCTTCTTCTTCTTCTTCTTCTTCTTC